TAATTAAGCAAACAGCAAACAAAAATTGTCTGCAAGTGCTTTCTGTTCTTTCAGAGAAAGTATCTCAATGATCTGGCCTCCTCTGTGCTACACGAATATTTCTGAGAACATGAAAGAGCCCCAAGAAACAGCGCCTCACTGCTCCAGGCCCTGGTGAGGAGAACACTCCGCTCCGCTCCTTGAGCTTTGCCTTAAAATTCCAAACCCTGCCCTCCTGGGATCCTGGCATCATAAACTAGCAATCTCCTGCCAAAAACATCAGCCAAAATCTCTTCCGTCTCTTTCAGTTCTTCTCTTTTCAGCAGATTTCATTTTTACAGGTGCCTACCAATTCTCAAACTGCTCTTCAGATTCACGTGGTGACAAAATCTTCAAGAGTTCAAGGTGAAGGTGCAATCAGAGAGAGCTGATGCATGGAAATGGGACCACCGATCTTAATAAACACTGTAGAAGATGCTACCCAAATCCTTAGAAGGTGCTCTTTCTCCAGACTTGGGAAATTACTATCTGCCCCTCCCTTGTTCTAAAGAGAAGTAGAACTCCATGTGTGTGGACTGAGAGATCTAGGCTCTAATCCGTCTCTTCCTGACATTTAGAGTAAACTTTGGCAAATTTCTTGTTCCAGGTGAAAGGGAAGTACAGAGGACAATATTAGTAATTCACCCAATACAATGTTAGAAGACACAGATAATGATGATGCTAAAGGTCCTTCATATGTAATGCTCTGTGGATGTTTTATCAAAACCTCTGGGTTTTCAGAATTCTCCTTGGAATTAGTCATGTGTGATTATGCCTTTCTGGATATATGCTTGCCTCTAATTCAGTCCCCTTTTCTTCTATTACAATCTACAGTTTGAAGTTGTTCTGGCATTTAAAAAAATCACCCATTTACCCAATCATCACCAGATTTTCTTCTCCAGGCTAATTCCACTAGAATGTGGCTCACATTCCCTTGTAAGAGAATGAATTGGTTATTCATTACATCTTATCAATGAGCTACTACTACAATGAAATCAGAAACTTGGAAACACCAGCAACTGCTTTGTCCTGAGTGTCCTTTGGGGATATGGTAGAGGGCACAGGACACTAATCCAGGCATGAGACAGGTTCTAAGACTTTGAAAGAACTTGATAAGTCTCTTTAGAATTAACCCAAAGAAACTGACCTCCTTTCTCATGAGAATTATTTGGTTTATAGATTAATGGAGGGAGAATTTACAGTGTTTAGTTTCATATTTAAGTTAATTTCCTATGAGTGTTTTGTGGTAACATGTCCACTTACTTTTCCTTTCTTCTCTATTGTTTGCAAGATTTACTTTTTCACCTTTCCTAACCTCTTAAATAAAGTCAAAAACCAATTTATCCTTTTGCTGTCTTAATATTTCAGCTTCCCTCTCTTGTTTCCGTCCTGGTGGTCACGTTTTCCCCATCTGTGTGTATCACATGAGGTGCGGTACCACGCACTTCCCCAGAAAGTCATTCTTCAGAGGAGAGAGATGCATGCACAGGTGGGCCCGTGTGAGGTGACTTGCTGACTTTTTTTAATCAGTTGTGAGGAAAGGAATCAGATATGGTGCTTTGGGATGCTAACTCGAGCTCTCTTCCTTTACAACAAAATCACAGCTTGAAGATCAATAAGGATGTGTCAGCTAGCCAAGATGGACGACTGGGAGGGGGGCTCAATGGAAACTTTTTAGAAGCTTCCAGAGGGAGGGGCTACCATTCTGGTTTGGTTGCTGGTCCTGAGGGCAGGTTTAGGGTCCTGCAGAGCTTCTGTTCTGTCCTGGAACCTGACTGCCTCACTGAAGGTCTCCGCTCTCAGCACAGGATAATTGGGCAGAGACCAGGGATGCCAGACCACGGAAATAAGATGGGGGGTGGGAGTGTCTGGGCCCTAAGTCCTCTGTTCCAGTTCCCACAGAACAGAGCCGGGGTGGTACCCGCCACAAGGGATTTTAAAGCCACGGATAATACTGTCATGTTACAAATGCCAATCAGCAGTAGTTTCTAGAGGCATCGTCCACTTCATTGTTCTGGAAGGCTTTGTTTTGGCTAAGGCTCTTAAACTCCCTGATGCAAACTCCCTCTTTTAAAATAATTCTTTTTTGTTGTTGATTTTAAACTTGATGGGAAAAAAATGACCAATTCATGCCAGTTGAGTTAGAGATCCTGAACAGGTAGTTTAAGATAATTTTACTTGACATATTTACATTTATTCCTGAAGTTTGGGGGGAAAATTCAATACCAACTAAAAAGTTATAATGAAAAGAGCACAGAGCCAGCAGTTAGAGGCCCCAGCCACCAGCTGAGACTGCAGGTCTGCCCAAGAGAATACTACTCTGTACCTTTGGGTGATTCCACGAACCTCTCTGGGCTCTGATTTCCTACCTGGTAACATCAAAGGACTGGATCCGCAGATCTCTAAGCTCTTCTGGGTTAAAAAATTCTTTGAATTCACGGTGTTCTATGATAGCAAGGAGAGAGTCCATGAAAAAAAAGAATGCTGCTCTGTTGATAATGATTATGTAGCCACGATGGTGAAGGATGGAAAAGAAAAAATATCATTTAGTAAACTCAGCAAATTCACAGACATTATCTTCTGTGAAAACACATAATTTCAGATATTTTCTTCTTAAGGAAGAGAGATGCAACTGTCGCTTCTTGGCCCAAACGTGCAGCGATAGCTAACAGTGACTGAGCGCTTTCTATGTGCCAGGCACTTTTCGAAGCTCTTTACACATATTCACACAATTAACTGTTCCCATTTACAGATGAGAAAACTGAAGCACAGAGAGGTTAAGTAACTTGTCCAAGGCCATCCACTTGGTAAGTGGCAAAGCCGAGCTCCAAACTCAGAGAATTGGGCTCTGGAATCCATACTGTTAACCACATCCCCATATTGCCTCTTGTCATTCACTCATTAAGTAAACATTTGATGAGCACCGACTATCTGATGGCATGGAATTCATCCTTCTCGAGGATTTCAAGCTGACTGAGACAATGTTCTTGTCCTTGAGAAGCTTAAAATAAACACGGCAGATATTGAGAGATGTGTGTGGAAGGAGTGACCACACTCGACCTAAGCTACATAGAACTTTACAGCCACCTCCTGTATCCTGGAACTGCTCAGAGTTCCATCCAAACCCACGGACAGTGCCTGGTAAGACGGGTCCCTGCTCCGGGTCCCCGCTCTACAGAACCACTCGGGTCATTCGGCCCTGTTGCTCCCTTTGGACAAGGAACCCAAGGGCCATAGGATGTGTTCACCTGGAGTCTGAGCCCCAACGCTTTCTAACCTCCCTGCTGGATACCTGGGCCCTTGAAATTTCCCTCCCCAAAGGCCAGGACTGACTTTCAGAGCTAGAATTGGAAGCAAACCCCTTGAGGGCAGACTGCATCATCCAGGCCCAGATTCCTCAGCTAAAGGGCAGCAATTTGTAGGAGGGGAGTGTGGATGGAGCTTGCACTTGTAGGACCACAAGGACCCTTGCAGAGCAGGACGGGCCTATGGCAGGAAGAGGAGTCATGGACTAGGTCAACTCGGCCTGCTCTGGAATGTTCAGCATAGAACTCCAAAGACAGAGAGGATTCTACATTAGAATCTGGCCTTTCAGGTTGTTGCAAAGACAACTTGTCAAGGGAAGAGGAGAGAACGTATTTTCCTTGAGTTTGCTAACTAGGTTTATACAACTTTAATATGAGACATATGGTATGTGGGTTTCCATTCATACTCTTGTCCAGCCCCTCAGGCCTGTCAGCAGGTACTGAATGAGCAATTGCCTCATCTCAGCCCTTTTTAGGGTTGCTTCACATAGCCCTGCTGTTGTCTCTAACCATCATCCCTCTTCTCCCAGCTGGCTGCCTACTGGCCCCCACAGTGAAAGCTCCTTGGCCTCTGTGGGCCTCGCCATCTCCAGCCACATCTTCCTCCCCTTCGGCTCCCTCCCACCCTGCCGGGGTTCTGTCTGCCACTATTTTAATCACCCCTTACACACTGCCTCCTCCCAGCCTTGGCTGAACCTTCACTCATCTGGAACTTGTACCTGGGCAGCTAAACGCAGCTGAGGAATCTCCACCAACAGTAGGATGAAGATACCATCCTCAACTGGCTGCAGACCACCCCCCAGTTCTGACAGCTCAGTCTCCCAGTCTCTGGAATCATGATGGAATTCTTCTCTATGTTCCTCTATCTCTGAAATCCCCTCTCTACCTCACCCTCAGTGGCTAATCTTGCTTTTTACCTCACAGAGAAAATAGGACACGCCCCTTTGGAAAACCCTCAGCATCCTAGTTCTAAATCTGAACCAGCCTGGCCTCACAGGGTCCCTGTAACACATTGCAAGTAGAGGGCCCACCGCCCATGGGGCCCGAGCTCCTTGCAGTTCTGTGGCCCTTCCTGCCCTGCCTATGTATTTCCATATCCTTGCTTCCTCCCTTAGCTCTAAACATGTTCAAACTTTTTCAGTTAAAAATCATTCTGATTTAGATTTTCTTTCCAGCCAATAAATGCTGTCTAATTCCTCACCTCTCCTTCACTCTTGAATCCACTTCAGTTTGGCTTTCACTCCCAACAGTCCACTAAAATTTGACCTTCCTGACTCTAAATGGCATGATCCCCTTTTCTGTCCCCGTGCTACGCAGTCTGCCCTGTGTGCATGCACAGTTGGAACTCTGTTCTCTTTGGGGTCTTTGGTTTGCTACTCTGCTCTTTTACCTCAGTTGCCTTTTCTGGCTCTTTCCCTCTACTCACTCTCTGAATGCTGATCATTCTCTGGGCTCATTCCCAGGCTTCTCATGCTCTCTCTCTAGAATTTCATTTGACTTCTGTGGCCCCAGCCTGGTCTCCAGCTTTGTATTTATCTAACTGCTGACTTGCCAGTTTCCTTTAGATGTCACCTGGGAAGCTCAAAGTCAACATGCTCGTGCTCCCTAACCTGGCTCTGATGACCCCACATTCTCCTGATACTCTCTTTTCGCACTCACCATTCCAGCTCAGTCTTGTTTTCACTCTGCCTCCCAGAGCCTTGGCAAGCCTGGGTTGGAAGGCTACCTCTCTGAGGTGCCAGGCCACGTGGGCTGCTGAAACATCTCTGGAGTCAAGCAGAAACTTGGTGCTGGTTTCCCCAACTTCCAGTAACTGTCTCCTGGAACTGGCAAAACGTCAAATGGCCCCATCCCCAATTGGTACATTTATTACAGATCTTATTTTGAATTTGAAAAAAATTATTATTTACTACTTTCTATTGACTGTTAATGGAGGCTCTTCCAAAGCTGGGTATGGACAATACCTTCATCCTTCAAGTCTTTGACATACCTAAAGAAAGTATTAAGCAGTGGTTAGAATATCAAACTTGGAGTCAGATCCTGGGACAAAAAGATGTTGCTTTTCATAAGAAAGGGAACAAGCCTGGGAATAAGAGTTTGTGCTGAAGCAGGGGAGGCAGGTGCTGGGAAGGTTGAGCACTAGAAAACAAAAGCAGGAAAGGCCAAGATGTTTGGGAAAAGAGACATTTCTTCAGGTGTCTCACATATATTGATATCCTAAAGTGATCTAGCTGAGACCTATCTCTTGAATGACAGGCTTGGAGCCATGTGATAATGAAATCTGACATTTATAAAAGCTATTTTTGCTCCATTTTGGCAAGTAAACTAAGTACTTTACATTTGTGACAACACAAGTCTCACAGGCATCTCAAATTCAAGCCAAACAGTTTTCTTTGTCTACCCACCATTTCCAGACCTCTCTACCCCACTATGTTCGCCTCTACTATTCATCTCCTCAATAGGATTGGTGGCAATCCTAGCCGCCTAACCCCGCTGCCTTCTGACCTCATCCCTGTCTCCAGGAGCCTCCTAATCCACTCTCAGAACCCACACTGGCCTCTCTGCGCACCCATTCTCCACCTGCCACCAGAGTGACACTTCACAAAGGCAGGTCAGCTGCTGGCAATGCGTGGCTTAGAGCCCTCCAGTGTTTCCCCTGCCTTTAGGATCAAGTTTAAACCCCTTTCTAGGGTTCTTTCCTCGTGGCTGGCCCCACCTACTCTTCCACCTCTTCTCCTGCTCACCATGCTCCGGCTCCACAGGCCTTTCTTCATTTTCTAGAACTGCCTGGCACCTTCCCAGCTCAGGCTCTCTTTCTGTTTGGACTGCTCTTCAGGTGGCGCCATTACAAAGTAGTTGGCTGTGAAAGACGTACATCATCACGGAACTGAGGGAAGCAGAAGCTCCATTAGAAATGTTGAGAATTCTGTCCCTGAGAGCTGATTCTTCTAAAACCAAAACATTCCTGAGGAAAGAAAAAAGAGCACAGGGCATCTGAGTTCCAGTGGGCTGGGGAGTAGCATATCCTGATAACTGCACCACCTCCACCCCACACAGCTGAAGCGAGGTTGAAGAGTCCTGCTGGGGCCCTCCTAAAAGGAGAAGCTAAGCCTGCAGGGGAGGCCAGCCCGGGCCCTGGGGTGGGAGTGCTGGCTTGGGGCTCACACGAGAAGGAGCAGCCCATGGTCTTGGCTGTGTGAACCTTTGCTCATTTCAGCCTTGCGGATTCTAATTAGTGCCTGCCAGAGGGAAACCGAACAGCTCTGCCCTAAACTGGATCTTTGGCCTGAATTGCAATAATTAAATTGAATTACTACCAAAAGATTCTTTATTCATTCAGTGAGCATTTATTGAGGGCCTACTATGTGACAGGTAAATGCCCTAGACTTGGTGTGTCAACTGGATGCCATGTCCTAAATGTACTCTATGTATAGACAATGTACTCTAGTCTACCTTCCATACATTCTATAGGATATAAGGAATACTATACCTATATCTGTATATTTTATAGGATGTATTAAATGGTACACACTACAGTCTATATACAATGGGTAATATACACAATATATAGGTATTCTTCTATTAGCAGCACTTTCTCATAATAGGTATTTAGTAACTATATGCTGAATGAATGAAAACTATATTTACTCAACACCATGTTCTCTTCTGGCAGAGCAGGCCATCAGTTTATTTTTCCAACCCTTCCCCTTTTTCAGCCCTTTCTTTGAAGATAGTTGCCTTCTCTTCCCATGTGATCTGGCTTCTTTGGGACAGGTAATTTCACCGGCCCACCCAGGTCTGACCTCTAGGGTGCTCACATAGTACCCAGAGGGGAGTATGCACCAAGGTATGAAAGACAGCTCACAATGAATTCCAGGAATGTCACAGCTGCCCAGTGGGCTAGGAGGGAAGCCCACCATGCCTTCCAGAGCCATCCAGAGAAGCAGGCGGTCGGACAAGGGCTGGACGCGAACCTGCAGCATGCCCCATGGTTCCTGGCCTCTTGCTCTTGAGAGCAAAGTTCGAAGTCGCAGAACTGGGAAGGTGTTAGTGACAGAGTCTAGGGCAATTCACTCAGAAATCATAGCCCTACTCCCCAAACCAGCTAAGACCAGGCAGGGGCTCTGACTGCCCCTTAATTCTTAGTAGCAATTCTTAGTCCCCAGTTTTCCGGGCTGTCCGCGGCTCCATTGCTTTTGAAACAAGTGACCAGAAAGCTTGGGGTCTCTTCCCAAGCCCCTCGAGGACCCCCACCCGCCTCCCATTACCAGGCCGCCGCTCCAGCAGCCCCCCGGCCGCCTGGGGCCCACCGAGGGAGGGTGCGGGGGAGCGCAGGGAGGAGTGGGAGGGCTCAGGGCCGTGGGAGGAGGAGGTGGGGCAGGGGAGGGCCTCGGAGCGGGAGAGGAGGGGCGCGCGGGCAGAGGGCGCGGCGGGAGCTCAGCCGCTCGCTGGGACGCGGGAGGGCGCGGGGACGCGATGCCGCCCGCGCCTCGCGGGGCTGGGCTGCGCCGCCGAGGCTGAGCCGCCTGCCCAGCGACCGCCGGGCGCGCACGCTGCGCGGGAGGATGGGCTGCGGCGGGAGCCGGGCCGATGCCATCGAGCCCCGCTACTACGAGAGCTGGACCCGCGAGACCGAGTCCACCTGGCTCACGTACACAGACTCGGACTCGCCGCCCAGCGCCGCCGCCGCGGACAGCGGCGCCGAGGCGGGCGGCCTGCACGCGGGTGAGTGCGCCGGCTCCTGCAGAGTCCAGGCGCTGGGAGGCTGGGGGCGCAGAAGAGAAGCGGGGCGGGAGCGGGCGCCAGGGCAGCTAGTGCTCCAGAGAATTCGGTGGGACGGGGAGGGAGGGCGGTAGACCCGGAGACTGACGGACCCAGGCCCCGGGAGCGGGCGCCACGAGCGACCCCTGCGGAAGGCTGGGCTGGCCCCCGAAGCGCGGGGAGCCCAGCACTCGCTTGCCTGCTGCAGGGCGGGCTCAGGGCTGGACTGATGGGGTGGGGCGACCGCGCACCTGGCGCGCACACCTCTCCCTCCGCCCGCCCCGCCCCTGGTCCGTGTGGGTTCGCGTCCGACCCTTGTCCGTTTCCTGCTCCAGCCGCCTGTGTGCCCACCTCTCCATCCACCGGCCATCTGGCCCCTCTCCCCCTTGATTTAGAGACGCTGCGCCTGACCCCGGTGAAGTCTTCCTCGCCATTCTCCCTTTCTCCCTGCTGGGAAGGAGTTTCCTCGCGGGCTTTGAAAACCAAAATCCTAGTCTAGGGCAAAATGAACGCTCTCACCCCATCACTAGTTCTGCACTTCAGCTTACTTTTCCATTTGTGTTTTCATAGTTAGGACTTCCCTCCCTACCCCAGCGGGCCTCTATGCTTATATGAGGCAGGGCATGAAAGTGGGCTATGACTATCAATTAAATACTCTTACGGTTTCCCCTCTGGCAGAAATCTAATAGGAGCATATGCAGAGAACTTTCTGGTCTGCTCACAAATCAGGATTTTATTTTGTAAAGCAGACACTAATAATCGTAGAGATGGAAATAGATTAACTGTTGCCACAGACTGGCCTTTAATCATAAAGGTGTTGGTGTAAAAGGAAAAAAACTTCACTGCTTACTGTATGGATGTTGTCAAAGCCAGATCAATATTTGGATGAAAATGTTTTAACTGTTTCCTGACCCCTTTATGTTGTCATTTTTGAATAATGAAATAAAAAATAGAAAATGAGGCAAATTTGAATTATAATGTGTATTATAAGGGGAAAAGAATGTGAACTACTCTTAAAAGATCAGTAATCCTAAATCCATGCCCCCTAAATAAGAGCTGTCACTTTCAGTGTTTCCATCTTTTAGGACCAAAGTTGTCTCTTTTTTCTCATAGACTTTGTGATTCCCCTTTTTCAAAGAGAGAACTGTCAGGGAAAACTGTGCAAGGCATAACACTGTATTTGTCTGCAATTTTTCAGACTCACAGAGGTGATCAAATGGTTATTCTGTGTTGCTGATGCTTTCAGCAAGTTTCCAAATAATGTGTTGGCCCAATTCAGTGTCAGAATGATAAGACATAAGCCTTCAAATAGGACCTGGAAAATGTTAGATCTACCAGCATTTCCCAAGGAGGTGTGGTATTTCTCAGCAGAGAGTCAAAGGCCAGAGCTGCACTCCAAGAAAACAGGGTTAAAAAAATATAGTGTGAAAAGGAACAAAGGACAGCTTCAGGGAATGGTAGCCTTGGTGACTGGGAGTATATTTGTGTGCATGTGTGTGTGTGTATGTACTTATGCATGGGTGTGAGAGTTATGGGATGGCTAAATTGGTACATATGTATCCATTACCAATGTTTATTCATTTATCACTGTGTCATTCTGGGTCATATTCCGTCATGCATCCTGAGATCTGGTTCCTGTAACAGGTGGGGCCTGGGATTCAAGCATGCTCATTTGCTGTTCCTTGCCAAACATGGGACAGCCCTGCCAGGCAGGTGGTCCTGAAGACCGGCTTGTTCATAGAAGAGGCTCAGCTCCAGTCTCAGGGGCATCTTAAAATTGGCAAGACTCTTAGATGGGAAGGATCATTTCAATTGCCTAGAAATTTCCATCAGCCTCAGTGTAGAGGCTGCAGATCAAGATGGAATCATGGCTTCTTCCCATGGAGCGATTGGTATTCCTTAGAGCCTTTAAAAAGTGACTGGATTCCTGTGGGTTTTTCAGACTGGAACCCCTAATATCTTTAGTTGGAAGGGGTCATCCAAAGAAGCTGCAAGTCCCCTGTGTTTCCACTGCCCAGGGAGATGAGCCAGGACTCTTTATCCTTTTCTCCCTCCATGCCCTCCCTGCCTCACCACCCCTGCCAGAGCTCCCCCTGTGAATTCAGTCCCTAGCTTTGGGGGCAGCTAATGGCCCACAGTGATTGAGTTGGGGTAGGAAGTCAGAATGCCATCTTTTCCTCTTTTCATCAATTCTTTCCTGATGGAGGACAAAAGGAAAGGCTGAATTCAGGAAAGTCTAGATCGTACAGTCACAAAAATGGCTTCATTAGTAGCATCTAGACCTGGAGAGGGTCTCTGGAGGTCACCTACGCAGGGCAGGTGGGACTCAGTAAATTGCCCTGATCTGGACATTTGCTCAACCACTTCACAGCTCATATTTACCTGCAGTTTTCTCCGTCTTCACTAGTTCTTTCTTTGTAGGCCCCTGGTCGTTCTCCTTTAGTGTCAAATTGAAGCCACTTTTCAGTATCTGGCCATGCCATCCTCAGGAGCTATACGGGCAGGGGGTGGACTAAATCATCTTCATCTCTTCCTTGCTAGCCCACTGTGGAAAATGTGTGTGACCGCTGGGTGGGATTTTATGAAGGTTTTCTGAATGAATAGGCCCTGTGTCTAAACTGACCCTTCATTCTTATCAGCTCTTCCTAGTTTCCCTTTTCCTTTTCTCTTCCTTGGAGGCCTCGCTATTGAAGTTTTCCCACTTGCCTTTCTGATCTCATAGCTTCTTTAACAAGTCCCCCCAGTTTTACATTGAAGCACCCTGCCCAGCTCAAAGATTCCATTTCTTCTGGAGCAGCCACGCAACCTGTTACCAGCTCCACACCCATGTCTACTGAAAAGCCCCATTTAAGCATCTGCTCATAAATCTCATTTCAACTTCCTGTAGTTCAATCCAGATGGAGGACATGTAACATGACAGGTGTTCAAAAATATTTGTTGGATGAATTTTGCATTTTATTGTAGGAAGGTTGCGGGTGGGCTGGGGTGGTGGGTATGCTCTTCTGCCAGCCCCGCAGAGGGAAGAGTTTCTTGCCTCCTCCTCTCCCAGGAAGTGATCCTGAACCTTAGGTTCTGTTTTTGGAGATTCTCTTCACTAGCCAGCAGAATTCAATTAAGTTTTTAGATTCAGGTACTGTTGTAGGCTGTAATTAAAGACTTAGCGGAAGCCACAGTATCTGATACCCATTGCTTCCCTGTGTCACTGAAACCTGTCTCTCAATCACAGGAGGAAATTAAATTGGTCTGACATGATTTAGTCTGCATAAAATCAGTTTGCTGGATTGATTTTTACTCCTGTTGTTTGACAGGGATCTCCCAAGGAGACAGGGGGTCTCTGAGGCTGCCGTGCCCCAGCCAGCTCAGCCATTCCATACACTAATAACTTACAGCTTCACCTCAATTTAATTACATCCCTAAATAGTCCCTTTTGCACTGTTAGTTTTTTTCCCCAATTTTTCTAGGGAATAAAACATTTCAAATTTTCTAAAGTGCTTCTACTTCATAGTTTTAAATTGCCATAATAAATGCCTTCTACTTCAGTGCTTTAAATTGACTTAGTAAACGCAAGATGTAAGACTGTGGAATCAAAGACTCACAGCAAAATGATTTACCTAAATGAAATGTGCCAAGTAAAATGAAGAGCACTTAATATTACCATAAGTTAACCTTTTTTGATCACTTACCAAGCGCCAGGTGCTGTCCTCAGCAGCACTTTATATAAATCATCTCACTTAATCCGTCTCACCATCTTCCTTTAACAAGTGAAGGGACGAGGCTCAGAATGTGCAAGTGCCTCTTCCCAGTTCAGGACTGGAGTCCAGCTCTGTCCCAATCCAAAGCCCACACTCCTGGATCCTGCCTCCCTGCTTCATGGGGAACAACTAAACTTCTTGATGTTACAATTGATGGGACTCAAAGTCTAGCCTGATCTCTAGATATTCTAGTCCAGTCTCTGCAGTTTTCTTCAGCATCCCTGGGGATGGGACAGGTCTTTCCTAGGGAAGGAGGCCTCCTGATACCTTGTGGAGCAATTCCCCTTGCAAGAAACTCTTCCTGCTGCCTCATAGTTCTACCTGGTGATCTCCGGGCCCTTGGAATCCAGGCTTGCACAGACAGCTCTTTCAGTATCTGAAGCCAGCAGGTGCATCTCCCCCAACTGTCGCCCCTCAAGCCAGGGTCTGAGGTCTGACCATCTTCCTCCAAACATGGTTTGTCAGAGTCCCTCTTGATATAGGAGACCCGTGGTGAGCTCCAAGCTGCTGATGTCAGCTGAGCAGCACAGGGCAACACAGGCACGGAGCCTCTCCTGGTGCAGTGAAGTCAGGTTGAAATTGGTTTGTTTTCTTGCTGCTCTTACTGTCATATTACCTTGATGACTCACATTAAGCTTGTGATTAGTTAAAACCTTTAGATCTTTCTAGTGAAATTCAAGTTCTATGACATCAGGGACATTGTGCTTTCACTGCTATATGCCCAGCACCTGGGACACTGACTGGAAGGAACATAAGTGGTGCTCAGTATGTGTTTGAGTGAATGAGTTTTTGCCCCATGAATCCTGCATTGGTACTATTGATTTCTGTAACCCAAATCTGGGATTTTTGTATTTATTCCTTTTACAATGTTCTTGTTGTTTTTGGTTTGATGTTTAAATTTGCTGACCCCAATTCATTCTTATAGTGCCATTAAGACAATGTTCTAGGTCTGTTGACAGACTAAAGATAAAAGACATTTATTTGCTCTTTTGTTCATTCGATACACGTTTGGCACCAAGACGAGTAAGAGATGTCCCTTATTCTCAAGAAGTTAGTTATATGGGTGAGAGAGACATAAGGGTGGACACACCTCAGGCCAGTGTGGTCCATATGGGGATAGCATGAGGAAAGTGTGCAGGGGACCGACTAGTTGGGTTTATCAGGGGAGGGGCCCGTGTGCGTACAGACGCCTGCAGTTGCCTGCAGTTGCCC